ATTAAATACAGAAATTCGGGATATCGTAGGGTTAGTATTAAAATCTAAAACGACCCAATAATAATACAAATCGACCTTTAGGTAAAATTATGGTATTTTCGCTTAGTATTATTACGATATAAATAATGGCACAATTAGGATAATTATACTACGAAATCCGACCCTGGTTATGTCGTGTTTTGATATGACGTTTCTTTTATGACAGATACGCTACTTTTTCTTGTATGAAAAAGTTATGAGTAAAATAGTTAGATAGGCATATACTTCCTTTTGAAATCATTGCCAATGTGAGAATTTATGTAAAATTAATATAATACGAATTGCTTGAGCATACATTTCACGAATATTTTGAAATATTGGTAATGAAATATTAAAACGTGTGCAAGATTATTTGTTATGTGTGCGCTTTCCAATAGATTATTTTAAAAAAAACCTTACATGAGATTTAGAATTTAGTATTACAATTAAGAGGCACAATATATTTTTGACCAACAAAAATTATAAATGGAGAATATTTATAATAATAGGGTGAAAACCCCTTTCCTTTCTTTAATTAATTTTTAGGTATACAATAAAAGCTGACGTTCGTTTTGTTTATTTCATTTTATCTTCCTGTAACCTATCAAAATATGTAAAAATTTTGACAGCTCCTTAGAAGCTTTGCCTTTGTACGGTTCTTTTATGCCGTTTTCCAACTTGTCGGTGCGGTTGCGGTGCGGATTCGTTTCGCTCGGTTGAATGTCGTCTACATGCACCTAGATGCGATGCAGGTATCGGGCCTCGGGGTATACTCCATTGCCCGGACAATCCTCATGGCCCATCACTATGGGCCAGTCCTTGGAGCCTATTCTAGGCATAAATAGTCATTACGGGATAATCCGTAGCCGGGCAAAGTTTTTCCCGCAGTCGGTTAACTACGGGAAAAAGGGAGGTTGTCCAGTAAAAGTCAAAGTTGGCCTTTCAGTGGCATTGAGGGTTGTTACTCGACTCTCTAATCACTATAGAGAGGAGTTCTCTTGGAAGAGGTCGCCTGTCCGGGGGCCGAGCGTGCAACGGCGCAAAGCCGTTGAGATGTTCGTGTGGCCCGTTGTCGGCGCGGTCGAACATGCCGCGCGCCATCCGGGCCACGAAGTCGGGGATGTTCTCGACCTTTAGATCGGCTGCTATGACGTCATTCCGGACGTAGCGACCTGCTCCGACGATCGTCCTTAATGTCAGATTCTGCTAGGCCTGCAGTCGCCGCCTCAGAGGGTCGCTCAGAAGTGCGTACCAGGCCGGAGCAGCATAGGTGATGATGGTCCGGATATACATCTTGTATATCCGGAGCTTGGTTCTAGTCGGCAGCTTGGATGCCAGGACCGGCAAGAGCGTCGCCCGCGCACATCGGGCCCTGCGGACGACGAAGTCGACGTGCGCGGTCATGCGCAGCGTCCTGTCGATCCTGCACCCAAGGTATGTTATAGCCTTCTAGTACGCAATCTTCTGGCCGTTGAGGGTCAGCGGAGGTGGAAATTTCCTGAGACGGCGAGTGAGCAGAGCGGTCGTCTTACCAACGTTGACGACCATCCTCCATTCATCCAGCCACGGTGGCAGCAGGTCCAGCAGATGCTGCATCTTGGCAGTGACTATGTGGGCTCTTCTGGACGAGGTGAAATAGGTGCTATCGTCCGAATATAGCGCCAGCTAAACGTCGTCCTTCGCTCAAGTGGGACTCTTGAAGCCTGCCTGCCAGTGTAGGTATATCGTTAGTGTAAGCCGCGTACAGGACTGGATACAAACAGCTGCCCTGTGGAACGCCGGCTCTGATGGATCTGGTTGCGGACTAGGCGTCCTCTACGCAGACGTAGAACTTCCTGTCTTCCAGGAAAGACCCCATTAGCCGCAACATAGCAAGAGGGACACTGGTCTGTTCTGTCAGCTTATAAAGTAATCCTATGTGCCACACCCGGTCGAACGCCTTCTCGATATCGAGAAAGACGCCCAACGATATGCGGCCACGATTATACTCTGCCGCAAGCAGGTGCAGCACTCTAGTCAATTGTGTGACTGTAAAGTGACCCCTCCTGAATCCGTGCTGCTCCGCCCGAAGTTGGATGCACGGATGGAGACGTCTCAGCAGCAATCTTTCAAACAGTTTAGCTATGTGCGGTAATAGCTTTCGGCCTGGAGCTGGCAGCTCTACGCCTGTCCTTCCCGGGTTTCGGCAAGACGATCACTTTGCCTTTCTTCCAGTCCTCCTGGAAGTGGGATGTCCGCAATATCCCATTGTAGAGTCGACCAAGCTCTACTAAGGACTCTATTGGGCAGCTGTCGGAGTGCAGCGTTGGTAATCCCATCGTGCCCCGGTGCCTTCCTCGGTTGCAGGCAGGTTACTGTCCTCCGCAGTTCAGCGGGGGAGATGAACCACTCTCCTGCAAGAGGCGGCGCGGGCGACGACAAGAACTCCTGTACGCGACTTTTCTTCCGGGCATGAAGCTCCATGAACTCCGCACTTGCTGGGTTTGGCATAAATTGCTCCTCGAAGTGATCCCAAGCCTCCCCCTCTGAAGGCCTGGACTGCAACGGACAGTTCCTCCGATAAGGTGTTAAGCTGGGTCTTTAGTCTAGGGCAGCGAGTACGCTCCCAGAGCTTTCTCAGCGCTCTTTTGCGTTTGATCTGCACGCTTATCTCACGCGGCAGATCGTCTCGCCTTGCTCTGATCGGGACGATCGTAGAGGCCGCGTGGAGGGCCTCCTTGATGTTCTTGGTAATTATAGTAGCAGCGGCCTCTACGTCGTCCGCTGTGCATATAGGCTGATGTGCTGGAGGTCTCTGCTGCAGATGTTGACAGTAGAGCCTCCAGTCAACACGTGTTTTAAATGCTCTGGGCGGCGTAGTCACCGCCTTTAGGCCAAGGGTTATCAGAATCGGGAGGTGCTGTGAGGAGAGGTCGTACAGCACTTCTACCACTGTCGGGTAGTTGACGTTCCTAGTGAGCACGATGTCTAATACATCCGGATGCCTCCGTGGGTCAGTAGGAACGTGAGTTGGTTCCTCGGGGCCTAATACGTCATAATTGTTCTTTTCGGCGTCGTCATAGAGTTCAAGACCCGGCGGGGTGATCACTCTAGACCCCCACGCCGGGTGTTTAGCGTTTAGGTCCCCGGCGATGATTGTGGGTGTTTCACCTTCCATCATCGTCCGGATGTCGGAAGAGCAGAATGGAGTCTCTGGCGGGCGGTATGCTGCGTAGATCCTAAGTTCCTCGCCCGCCGCCTCCATTCTTATGCCAATAGAGCGCATAGTCTGGTATGGTGGTAGTTCCAGTTCCTGATGGACGATGTCCCTCCTCACTAGAACCGCCGTCCCTCTGTAGGCGGCTCCTTGAGAAGTGACCTCGTCCCTTCTGTATATGTGGTAATTCGGCAGCTTAATATGCGTCTTTGGGTTTAACTTCGTCTCTCCCAGCAAAATAATGTGCAGATCCTGTTGCTGGGCGACTGTGCGGAGTTCATGCAGCTTCTGCTGTATTCCGTCCGGGTTCCAATAGAGGAGGCGCAGATTACTCTCCTCCGTAATGCCGTGCTATAAAGTTTGCCAGCGCCTTCATTATCGCCGTCACTGGATCTGTCCCGGCTCTGATGTCAGCCAGGACTTGTGTGCCGACCTCGATGGCAATACCAACCAGACGCTGGATTGCGTCTGCTGTTTCGAGGCCGGCGGCAGGTGTTCTCCTATAAGAAGGCGTTGGAAATTGTCTCGGGTGTTGGAATTCCTGGTTTTGCTCTCTTTGCTTGTAGGTAGAGCGGGCTCTATGTTCGGGTAGAGCCCTTTCTGGCACTCTACCCACGCGTTTGGTTGTCTCCCGAGTAATCTGCGCCTGTGAGGCTACTGGTACAGTTGGTGTCGGGGTAGAGGTAACAGCCTGAGGAGGCTGCGACTTCTTCCTACTTCTCCCCCGCCTCCTCTTTTTGGAGGGTTGCCGTTCTGTGGTGGGGTTGGCGGGGGGCTGTAGAGTTGCCCCGGTGGTTGCCCTGGTCATTGTGGGTTCCACCGTTTCCTGAGATGTTACGGGTGGGGGGGGGGCTGGTTGCCTGCCCTTCCCAGTGATGGTACTCAACGATCGGCGGAGTTTGTCGAACCGGCGGTTATTTGCAGCCACTGCTAACTACGAATAACGCGCACCAGGAGATCCTTCGCTCGGTATACGTTACCCAAAGCTTGTCGAGCCCATATATTTTAATTTGCGTCTTTTTGGCGCGGTACGTGCGGGAGCGGGGAGGGACCGTTTCGTTTTACCGCATCTCTGGACGCATAACCAGCAGCCGCTCGACATTTACCGCGCGCGGTCATGCAAACAAGATTTCGTCGTTTTAGTACTAGATATTGAACATTTTATAAACCTTGTATTTTGATTTGTTAATACTGTAGTCAACAAATTTAAAAGCTCTTCGAAAGTTTTTTTTAATATTCTGTACATCAATAAAAAATTTCGTGATTTTGGGAAAGTTCTTGGGCCGCAACAAAAAGTCGACAGTTAATATTATTTTCGATACATGGATGACGCCAGTAAAGTTTTCTTCTTTTACGTAGGTGACAAACATAACAGCACGCCAAAATATCGTCATCACTCGAAGATGACATCTTCGCTATTGTAAGATTTTATACCGATTAGCTGAAGGCAACGCGGTATCGTTTCGGTACAGACCTTAAAGATCCCGCACTGCTCCCGCACCGACAAATCGGAAAACGGCCTAAATCGTGTATACTAGGTAAAATAAATACACAATACATTTTTTCATAATAGTTTTATTAGATATTAAATACGTGGTTGAGACGAGACATGCTTACAGTCAATAAAAATTGTAACAAAATTACAATTTCTTCCACGATAAATAAATTTTAAAGAATATATGGCAAACTCATTGTAAAGTAGCAATCTTGTAAATCATATTCTAATATTAAGGCTATTTTTAGAGACCAAAATCACTGTCCTGATTGTGAATTAACTTGATGGCGATTATGCTGGTGGAGGTGGTGCTCCACCATCGTCACCGCCACCACCACCACCACCTCCGCCACCTGCATCTCCTCCTCCCCCACCTCCTCCTTCAGGTGCTCCTTCTGGTCCAGCCAAGGGTGAAAACCCTTCACCAGAGGGATCCCAAACTACGGGGGCCCAAAAGCAAACGGCCAGCCATATAATAATCATACAAATAATTGCACTCAAAATCGAATATTTTACCTGTAACAAGTATAATATTTTTTTTAAATAAAATCACAAAATTAATACATTTTTAGTTATACATACATTTGTAAACACGTTTCCTTATATCAGTACTCATTTGTGAAATATTCCCCGCATTTCCTACTTTAATATACCTATATATTATTTTATTATACCCATATATTATATGTATATAATTTTCTTTACTAACGCATTTTCTTAAGTTATTTTTCATTAGTTAATAGGAAGACTGCTACACATTTCCTGGTTTGATGCGTCTTACGACATCCACGGGTTGAAATTTGGTGGTGGAAATTCATTATATACTACCATTAAACAGGTGTAATGTTTTGTATAATTTTTGTCTCATTATTACTTTATTACCTCCCATATGTTTATCTCTGCTTAGCCTAATGGTTGATTGGGAGAGAATGCCTTAAGGCATTAAGTCCATCTTATGTACGATTTAATTTTTTATGCATCGAAGTTTAAATAAATAAAAAAAAAATAGTTGAGGGCTCCGTAGTGCATTGGCTTAGCAGTGAGATGCAGCACTGAGGACCGAGGGTTCAAATCCTGTACGGAACAGTATTTGTATGGCCTACAAATAATATTTCATGGTCTGGTTCTCTCGTCTCTCGGCCTCTGTGTAATTTTTTAATGTAAACGATAGAAGAAAATCGTGAGAAGGTAACGTTTAAAAATATTGCAGAAGAGCAGTAGAACGACGTTTTTTCTTCAAATATCAACGCTTACTTTCATCCAAAATCAATACCATTTTTTTTTTGAATTAATTGATGACGGTTTATCCAATGTTATATAAGAAAAAAAATACTACCAGTGTTCTTAACACTACTAATATTCCCATCGAATTCGGATATTGGATTTTAGCCGACGAATTTTAAATTTTGCTCTTTGTGTACTAAGCCACTAGGTTACTATCGCTTAAACGTAACAAAATTTGAACATATTTAAACTCAATTCCACAGACTGGCTGGTGTAAATATCGCTTATACTACGGTATTGGTTATATGACGTGGTAGGGCCACACTGCAGTTAATATTTTGGTTGCAGCAGGAATGCTTCGACCCGACCGGAAAAGGACCACACTCTCACAGAATGCCAGCGTAAAATAGCAGCTTAATGCTGCTGTGTTCTTTATGGTGTGTATAGATATACTATACCGGATATATATTATAACAGATAACCTTTTTACTAGAAACGAGGCATTCGATCTTAGTCTTCGGGGTCCTACATATTTGTTGGCCTTATTCTATATAAAGAAAATATAATTACTGTATAATGAAAATGGCCTGTCACCAGTAGCTTAAAATAAATATTGTCCCTTGATAACAATGTCCAATACGGACTTCTTATGCGATTTCTTATTAAAAAACTAAAGCAAAATATTGTAAAGAGAAGAGAGACAAGTCAAGAAAGGAAGACGAAAACAGCTACGCCCACCCACATTATTAAAGTTGTGCATCGCTGATGATTGAGTGAAGCCGGCGAGTAAAGACTTGAGGTGATATAATGATGTTTCATCGGATATAACCCGCTCTTACCCTGTAAGGCATTTGGTGAACTATCTGTGCATATACAAAAAATATGAAGCTAATTTCATAAATAAAGATAAAGTTACGGCATATATATGTCCAACTTCTGGGCTCAGGCCTTCTCTCATTTCAGAGAGTGTTTTTTAGGGCAAGGAAATATCCACCGCTCTGCCCCAATGCGTGTGGACGAACATTATATGTCTTCGAAATATTTTTTTTATATCTCAGGCATGCTGTCGTCCTCACGATGTTCTCATTCAACACCGAGCACGTTTATTTTATATTAGCAATTAAAATTGCAATTAACAAGTTCATTGGTGCCGGACTCAAACTCGGGTTGGTCGTGTACCGTGAAATTTAAAGCGAGCGCTAATCAACTGAGCTACTAATAGCCAACTTTTAATAACTTACCATTTTTTTCATTGGAACTTTTCCAGTGTAGTGACAAAAGTATGCAGGTGTATAGAGGAAAGGAAACAAGAACGTCATAGAGCTTGAAAGGCCTACTCCAAGAGCACCAAGATAAACATGCTTTGGCCAGGGTACTGGAGCATCAGGTTCTGCAGCCTGTGAAGTATCAATATTTAAATTAAATGTTCTTAATTTACCAAACATTGCACGCCGAATGGCGCAGTTTTAGAAAAGCGTATCTACAACAGTTATTTAAAAAATTCTCTGTGATGTGTTATTCCGGGAAATCTTTCATTATTTATTAACATTATGATTAAAAATTTAATTTTCCTGTTGTATGGCTTAAACCCTTCTTTTACTATTAGTATATATAAAAAAACCTATTATGGCACCACGCGGGGATGGCAGTAAATACGCAGCCCAAAGATAGAAATTTTGATGATGGGAAACGATTTTATGCCGAGGTGTCGAGAATAGTATAAACAAATACACATAACATATAAACACTGACGCCTGTCAACCCGAGGGATAGGCAGAGACTACAGACTTCCATTCAGCACGATCCTGACATACCTCTCTCGCCTCCTCCACATCCATATAGTTACGCATACATGCTCGTCGGTTAACGATACTCTTAATTTGGCCCATTTTTTATATATCGCCATTTGGTCCTTCCTTATCCCTTAACGACTCTTTCATTCACTTCTGCAATGTATATTTGCTTTGTCAGTTTTTTCTCATGTATTCTTTCTACATGACCAAACCACCGTAGCCTTGCTTACTTAATCCTGGTCACAGCATCATCTTGCAAACCCCTCTTCCTTTATCACCCTGTCACTCAGATTCAGCCCAAACATACTCTTAATTTTCTCTTAATTTTTGTAATCTTTGATAATACATGTTTTTCAATTGTAACAGTAACAAAGATGAAAATTATTATAATTCAACTAACCATGTTGATCACAAATGGTAAGAATACGCAGCAGGCAGCTACTCCGGGCATTATATTAGCGAGAATAATTGCAATAATTACAACAAGTAAAATCGAAACGTTCCAATCGTACTTCGTTAAGTTTTTTCCAACTCCTGCCGCAAGTACTTGAGCTAGTTTAGTCTCTCGTATAGCAACATTCAAGGCAACTCCTGATCCTAAATTTTTGGGAAACCAGAAATGATGTTTTAAGAAATAATGTAATTAAATAAAGTCACCAATAAAATGAATTGTTTATAATTTAATAGGTGGTATTACTATGTGTACTCTTTTTTTGTCTGTCAGTACGCCTGGGTATAAAGCATCATATGTTTTGCTGCTAAATAGTAGTTAGTACATACACTATTTTGCCGTGTAAAGAATGTAAGGAGGCAACATAATTACAAGTTTTGCATCTTAATCATCAGAGATGACAATGTATCTCTGTAATGTCTTTTTGTTTGAAGTTTGCTACAGGCTCCAATACCCACTTATTATTCACGAGTTTTATAAAAAAAAAACAGAATGCGTTTCAATCCAACCATAAATTGTTTTATGCTATTATTATTATTATTAATATAAAATAGAAAATAGACCCAGATAATTAGCAGCATCTCGCAGTTCAAAACCCGTAAAGCTTTTCAATAACTTTCCTGTCCGAATCGGAATGTTCATATACTCAAGGTAAAGTGAAATGGTTAAGATAAAGGAAACCATAAAATAAATAATGTCCGTGTAGAGTCGGTATGATAATGTCCACTGCCCAATACCCAATACCCTTGGGTGTCGTAATAGGCGACACAGGGAAATTGAAACAGAAAGGCAGCAACATCTTGCGGATAACAACTCAATAACTGATGTTGGCAACCCGCTCACTAAGTGTGTCAATTATGGCAAAATCCCCCCTAGGAAGCAATCTATGGAAGAGGCCACTAAGATACATATATACATCTCGTTAAAATCTACTACTGAAAATAAGCTGCACCCGTCTCAGTGATTTAACATGATCGTCATGCTTGACAGGCAGATTCACGATCGTGGTACCAGACGTATCGCACCTCTGATGCTGGTCGAAGTATTTTATGTGTGGCATAAACAGTATGATACTACCGCCATCTACCGAAATCTATAGGATTTTCTGATGTTTGTTTTTGTGAGTCAAGGTGGGACAAGTGACTAAGAGGCGACTCCAGTCGCCTCTTAGTCACTTGTCCCACCGCCAACGCGGAATTAGAAGCGGATAAAGCTAAAAACTACATAAAAGTTGGCGAGCAGCGAGAAACAAGTGTGTAGTTCCGATAGTTCCATCGCTGGGCTATAAGCAAGTGCACCCAGATCCGCACTGTAGAGTAAAATTTGCGGATCTCTCGGCGTAAGTTCTGACCGCCAAGTGATCATCGTTGATCGAGTTTTATCTTTGTTAGCTTTTGTCTCTGTGACTAACTAATGGATAAAGAGTTCTTTCCGGCAGTGTCAAAAGCCAGAGATCAACTATAAATATATGTATATTTTTATTGACACGAGATCTATATCTGTTGTTCATTTCTTGAGCGAGAAAATAGTAGATAGCTAATCGCTTCTCCGTCAGCGGTAGGATAAGTGCCTTACGAGAACCTGGGGCAAAAACGGCATGAAGGATTTCCTTCCGCCGCTACAACAGCGCATGCCTCATTAACTTGCACCCGAAAATTTATACTTAGTGTATAGGGCATTCCGACTAGCTACGACAGTTTATTTCGTTTATCCACCCTAAAAAATCCACCCTAGGGCAGATACTCCAAAACTGCGCTGCCACATCAACCCCCTGCTCAGACCGGAGGTCGACAGTGCAGTCCGATTGCCGGTGCGTCCTTAATGCCGGTGGGGAATGCATGCTGTGTGCGTAAGGGCAAGTGACACCCGTGCTAATGATATACCGATGTGTAATGCATGCCGTACTACGCACTGGCAAGTGACGCCGGTGAGGACGATACCGGAGCAAGTGCCAGAAGTCTGCCTTATAAATCTGCGGTGAGTCGAGATGAGGACAAGTTGGACTGGTTTGCAGGGACTGAAGGCTAGATGTTGTAGTTTTCCGAGGTTTGTTCGTTGCGTTGTTCATATATCACGTCAGTTAGCCACTAGTTTGGAACTATCAAACGGAGCGTTGGCCGCTCCCCGGGCAAGGTGTTTTATAGTGCGGAGTTAGTCTAAACATACTGTTTATCATTCGATGTTTCGCTTGTGGTGCGTCGACAGCACCACCACAACTGTACACAGCCGAGGGAGAAAATCGGAATAAAAATAATATATACGAATTCCGATAATCCACCCTATCTGGGATGGATAGATGAACACGCGTTTCCGCGTATCCACCGTCACCAGGTTTGAATCTTTGATAAACGACGAATTCGTGGATAAACGAATTAACCCATTACTACTACTCCAGAAGACGTAAATTACTATATCAGTCATTTAACTACTTTAATTAAAATCATAGAGAATAATACCAATGACAAGGAAATATGCATAAACTATATTTTTATTAACAAATTTCCACCACAAAATTGCCGACTCAGGTTTAAGCGGTGGTAAATCAGATTTTCCTGAAAAAAAAAAAGAAAGGAAATAAGCATAATAAAATATATGTAAACAAAAAATTTATGACATATGTTTCGTGAAATTATTTAAAAAAAACATGAAATATTTAGTTCCATACTACTTACTTTTAGCATTAAAGTATTTTAGAAAACCAAAAGTTCTTGGTAAAACATGCAATCCGAATACGAAAATTGCAGCTACGGTAGCATCTTTAATACTGTAAAAAGTTGAAATTCGTTAGCCAAAGAACATTCTACAAATAATTATCAACAAAACAATACTTTTTAACAAACGTGTCTAAGACGCACGCAAACTATCTTGATGGTAATCAGATGACGTGGCCAATAGACGTACAATGGCAATAAGTTGTCACCTTAGAAGATTAAGTCCAGTATACGGATACAGTGTGGAGTGTAAACTAATACTTCAAAATATAAAATTTGGCCATGTTATCTAACAAAATTTAATTATTGTAAAGCCTGAGTTTTGAACTCGAAGTTGTTTGTAAATATACCGGTCTAAATCAGAATAGACACATTTATCCTCAACTAAGTACTCGTATAATGGCAATAAGTTGTCACCTTAGAAGATTAAGTCCAGTATATGGAGATAGTCTCGAGTATAAACTATATAATATAAAATTTGGCCATATTATCGAACAAAAATTTGTTTATTTTAATGCCTGAGTTTTTGACTTCAAAATTGTTTTTGAATACCGGTCTATATCAGAAGAGTCACTGTGGGGTTACTTTCTACAATCTTTAAACTTAATAGAAAATAATAATAAAACCTATAAAATGCATTTTAGATCCCGCTCTTCTAGAGCTCCGTACATATATTGTGACTATCTTAAAATAAAATTCGTTTGTTTTGGTCCACCCATCTACAATTACAGCCTCGGGCCTCTCCCATAGATTGATTCATAGGAAGGATTTTGCCATAGTTACCGCTTGGCAGACGGATTGGCAACCACATTTTCTTATAAGTTGAGTTGTTAACAGAATGTGATGCTGCCCATCTCCTGATTCAGTTTCCCTCTGTCGCCTCTTACGGCACCCACGGGAGGATATGAGGTAGTGGGTATTCTTACACCGCCACTACACGGGAACTTGTTTTAGTCACAATACAATTATTTTTATTCTTATTTTTTAATCTCATGGTTAAGCAAGTAATGAAATTACAAAAACTTTACACAGGTATATCTGGTGACGTTGTTTCCCTACGAAATGTTGCCCATCCCATGTTTAACCATTTGCACCATCGAAAAAGAAAAAGAAGTAACGCTGCAGTTGTAAAGAAAATCGCCATCTGGAAAAATAAATAAAATATATTAATGTTAGCATTATATACTTATTACGTGCACGCTAAAACTATTGCCAAAACGTTAGTTATTTTATTTTACAATCAATAAGCAAATATTTGTTTCACAAATAGCATCCAGTATAGAAAGAAGACGAACTTGTAGAATAAGTTTCCTTAAATTAAATGAATAATAATATCCTTAATAAACATTGGAAAATTATTATGTTTATAAAATAAGAAAAATAATGAGATAATAGTTGTCGAAAAACATCAAATCATCAAAATAATACTGTAACGGTTTGTGTCGACAGTACCGCCTAACACTTCTTGCAAAGAATACATTTTGGAATGACCTACAATTTTTTTCTATCCTAGGTGACAGTTCGTGTGCAGTTTACGTGTGTTAAAACATTTTTACATACGGTTTAATTACGTTTCTCAATGCTAAGAATAATCTTTTCCATTTTGGTACATACGAAATAGACCTGTGGTTAGCGATAAAAAATGAATACATAAAACAACTTAAATGGTGCGTTATTGGTATATTTTACTTAAATAAAAAATATAAGAAAAAAATACGTTAGGTAGCGTTAAAAGCTTTATACTATACGTTACTTTTCTTGTTTTATTTTATAATTGACATTTATCAATGTTTATATGGTATAATATTATTTGTAAATTGTTTTATTTATTATAACAACGTGATTTTAGAGCCTTGTGGTCGTCATGAGGTGTTGTAGAAATTCGACCAAGAAGCTCAATCCATTAAATTATTAAGTTTATATATTAAGGCGCTACTCCTAGCGAACGAACTTGATCATTCGGTTCGCCTAATGCTCCTACACTCCACGCGCTCTCGTTACAATATATCGCGTAAAAATACGCCCAAATTATAAATCATTTTATTTTAAAATCGAATTTTAGTCCTTTGAAACAACTAAATAGATCAAAATATTCATTAATAAATTGCCTATCTATTAGTGACAATCGCAAAATATAATAATGTAGTTTATGAGGAGGTGCAGTAATTTTTTTATTATTCACAAAAATTAATAATTATTTCGCATTTCTGTGGTTAAGTTGTAGGGAGATTCATCAAGTATTTAATCCTTTAAAAAATGGAATTGGATATTGTGGAACCAAGATTACGTAGAAAGTTATCTAACTAAAATTACTCACAAATAACGACTTCCGCGGCATTTTTCACACAATATTCAACAGTTCATTCAGTCTCAATTTTTGAAGGAAAACTTCAAGTGGGAGATATAAGCAAGAGAGAGCAGTGCGCGCGCACACTGTCTCTCTGTTCTCTGTGTGTAGTTTTACTTCAGTCGTTTGGTCAGCACAATCGTTTTTAGTAAGTCTATGGAAATAGTTGTTTCAGTTATACAAAATTCTTTACTATTAAAAAGCTACTCTATCCCTGCGCGAGTCCAAAGTCTAAGTCACACGTTTTGCGAACATTTTCATTGTACGTACAGCTAAGGATTGGAATTATTGAGGTCAAGAATGAATAGGTCGTTATCGCTTACCATCAGGTGACATGGTGGTCAAACGCGAGCCTATCTATAATATTAAAAATATTAAGGTATATATTTTGCATACATTGTAAAGTATTAAATTACCTCGAAGATTTATCTCTACTATATGTGTGGTGATGTTGGTACTTGGTAGCAGAACATAATGCTTCCAGAAGATCTTACTCAAAACAAAGCAACATATAATTGCCGATGGTAAAGGCACTCTTTTATTACGTTGATGTCCAACAGCGAGAAAGTTTGTCCCTGGGACTTATTTATCGTAAGGGCACACGACACTTTAACAGGGGCTTGAAGCCACTAAAGACCTATAAATACTAGGCTGCACTAAAAGTATCGGGAATGGAATATTTCCACTATTCCCGTCATATTAAAATCTTTTTAACTGAAAACTCCTTGGTTTTAAAAATCGAATACCATTTATTTATTTAAAATAAGATTCTCGGTCTTGTCACAAGGTTTTGTCAAACTTGTTTAGTCGTTGAGAAAATGGAATTGACTCGAGAAAATTCAAGAGCGATAATTTATTATGAGTTTCGAAGTGGTTTAACACAAAAACAGTGCGTTGACCAGATGATTTCTGCATTTGGTGATGAAGCTCCACCCAACACCACAATTTATCGCTGGTTTGCTGAATTTTAACGTGGACGTGTCAAGCTCAGTGATGATCCCCGTCAAGGTCGTCTAAAAACTGCAGTCACCCAAGAAAACGTTGATGCTGTGCATAAGCTGATTAAGGAAGATCGATATGTGACATATCGCAAAATTCAGGCAACTTTAGACATTGGCATGAGTTAAATACAAATAATTTTGCATGAACAATTAGGTGTATAAAAGTTGCTTTCCCGATGGATACCGCATTCGCTCTGTAAAGAGCAAAAAGCGGCTCGCGTTACTTGGTGCGTCAGAACTCTCGAAAGATTCCATGCAGGATTCTCAAATGCTGTATACAACATTGTTTTAGGTAACAAATCCTGGATATACGCGTACGAACCCGAAACAAAAAACCAGTCACGAGTTTGGGTGTTCGAAAATGAGTTAAAGCCAACAAAAATTGTTCGTTCACGGAGTGTTGCAAAAAAAATGGTGGCCACGTTTGTCTCCAAAACCGGTCATGTTACGACTATTACTCTTGAGGGACAAAGAACGGTTAATGCAGAATGGTATGCTAGCATTTGTTTGCCACAGGTCGTTTCTGAACTCCGTAAAGAGAACTGCAACCGCCGCATCATCCTCCATCATGACAATGCGAGTTCTCACACTGCACACAGAACAAAAGTGTTTTTAGAGCAAGAAAACATAGAATTATTAGACCATCTGCCGTACAGCCCCGACCTAAGCCCTAATAATTTCTATACTTTCCCTAAAATAAAGAATAAATTGCGTGGACAGGGATTTTCATCACCTGAAGAAGCTGTGGACGCCTACAAAACGGCCATTTTGGAGACCACAACTTCCGAATGGAATGGTTGCTTCAACGATTGGTTCCATCGTATGGAACGATGAAATGTGTCAAATTTCGTGGAGAATACTTCAAAAAGCAATAAATACATTTTTAAATAGTAATGTTGTGTCACTTGCCGCCGCCGTGCCACGTGCCACCCTCGTAGGTCTGTCGGTATCATCGGAATTCGTGTAATGTACAAGCTGTCCCGCTTTAGGTCCAGTGAAGATGGTTGCAATAGAAATCAAAAATTCTTGTGGAATGCGACAGTATTCGCTTCGTTTAAGGTACAAATATATGATAAAATTTTAATAACATGGAGTGTAATTAATAGTGAAACTCTTGCAATTAAAACTACCGATTGAGTTTTAACAATAAGTTTAACTAAATGAGATCAACTCTTGCAATAGTTTTTGGGAAATATTTTATATCAGTAAAATATTTCCTATTTCTTACAATTCTTATTTTCCGATCTTAACCACCAAATCACGGAATTTTTTTTTCTGCCGTCGCTAATAATTTTGCATTTCATAAAGTATCATAAAAAGATATTGTAAAATACATAAAAACTATTGATACTAAGAAAACCGCAGAGCAACGGGGGGTTTTCTTTTAAATTTATTGCGTCTATAATACAAACTCACATCAGATATCTATTATTTTTAATATTGGTATCGAATCCTTTCTTAGTTTAATGAAACATATTAAAGTAATACCTTTATTTAAATCTGGTAGTACATTAAACACCGTCAATATTAGACCAATTTTTGTACTTCCAACTCTAATTAAAATTTTTGAAAAAATATTCTTGATAAAATCTAAAAGTTTTTAATGTAAATAATTTACTACATAAAATCAATTCGATTTCACAAGGGGGGGGGGTTGGTGGGGGGGGGGGGCTCGACAACTGATTCTGGTGTTGAGCTGATTAAATATATACTTATAGAGTTTTTACGGATCGATAGTACAAACAGGCATGCCTTAGTGCTTAATTCTCGGCCCCCTTTGGTTTCTTTAATGTATTAATAACTTACCTTACATAGTAGGGGATAATCGCATTATAGTATTATTTACTGATAACACTTCATTATTTTCGAATTAAAAAGATATTTACTAAATTATGATGAAGTAAATAATGCTATATCTAAATTAATAAATTGGTTTAATGTTATTAATTTGCCCTTAAATATTACTAAAACTAAATGTATAAAATTCCTATTTCCCAATGTCAAATATTATGGCACTAATATTATTTTAAATGAGATGAGCTGAGTTTTGTTTCAAACCACCATTTTTTTGGGGTCACACAAGACGCAAAGCCTCAATGGGGCCCATTATTCAAAACTAGCTAGCAGATTTAGTTCTGCAGCACATGCAATAAAAAAAGATTAGAACTCTTACCACTGTTGTAACAGCTAGACTAGTTTAGCTATTTGTATAGCAAAACATCATGGTATTTTGCTATGAAGACACGTGACTGACACTGAAATTATATTTGTTTACAGAAGAGGGCCATTAGAGCAATATATGATTTAAACCCTAAAAATTTGCTCAGACCAACATTTAAAGAAATTAGTATATTAACCTTGGTCTCTCGATACATTTATGAAAATGTAACGCACGTACACAGAAATAAAATTAGTCTATTATAATAAGTGATATTCATTATATAAATACTAGGATCGGACGCAAGCTAGTAGTACCAGTTACTCGACTCAACAGAGTCAGTAATTCATTCTTAGGGCGATGAATATTCTTTTACAACATAATCGCAGAAAATATACAAAACTTGACCTACACAAAGTTCAAAAACATTATGAAACTAAGTTTGTATAAAAAGGGTTATTATAATATTAAGAAATTTGTGGATGATAATAACCAGCGGGAAGGGTGATTTGCTACTAAGCTATTTCTAATTTGTTATGCGTTGTTAATTGTAACGTGCATGATTGTAAGCTGTTATTTTAAAAAAATCCTGCTGTGTTTCTTTGTGAATTTTCCCAGGACAGACGTTTTTTCCGAACCAGTAGGAAATTAAAAAAGTGACTTTCTATAAGTGTTATTTATAATCTATATTGAATGAAAAAGTTTCTGTTTCTGTATTAATTAAATTTTAGAACACAAAGTTGTAATTGCCATTTAACTGTAACAGTTGGACTTCTCCTCTTGCAGATTTTTTGTAGATAGTGATAAGTTCTACGTCTAGTTAGTTTTGCTCCGCCACCAATAGTTTTTGCAGCGCACGCCAAGTGAAACTTTTATAAATATAGCCCATGTTACTCTTTTGTACTATAGCTTTCTATAATTGAAGGATAGATTTAGTAGTTTTAAAGTTTATCCATAAGAAACAAAAAAAATTTCCTGTTTATAATATTAGTATAGATAAATTAAACTTCTAAAAGTGCTTGCCTTTTCGTGCCTGCCGATTTTCTTTGGCAAATTATCTTTGTGCTTTTGCAAGGATTTCTTTGCTTCTTCCATCGCATAAGCACTCATAGGTTTAGGAGAATACCTGCCAGGAGATGCAAAAAAATAATTAAAAAGAAAAATAAAGAAAAAACAACAAAAATAAATGTTTAATTTTATTCATGGCATAAATGTTTGCTCATACAGCCATATATCGTAAGCCGCGGGACAATCACGGGATACAATAGGGCAAACTATTCTCTTACGCCATCATTACGGGGGCAAACATATTAGCATGAAATAATTTTTACTTCACCAAATTATTTATTATCAATATTCCTCAGAAATGTTTCCTTACCTAACGTTGTTAAAAATTTATTTCTGGAATTACGGAACATGAAAGGCCTACGCCTATATGCCTATTTTCCTTTTTATTTACTGCTTTCTACCTTAAAGTAATAACAGCAATGTCTACGTGACTCAGCCTTTAGAATTACAATTAAATACAACCACAAATAGGTTTTGAGTTTAAGGTCTCTGTCGAAAACTGTTGTATTGTACAAGCCATAAAGATGAAAACTTAACAGAGATAATATTCACCATTGTAGTTTGGATGATTCAAATGATTTCTTCATGCTTTGATTGTGTCAAGCAGATTTTTTAATTATTTTGAATTGAAATCGGCTACTTGATTTGTAACCGTCTTGTACTAGGGTCGAGGAGGTGACGGAGGAAAGCGAATTTATTATTTATCAAAATAGTTCATTTATTTTATCATTATTGTAACATTGAACATTTCCAACCAGAAGAATTATTCTTATACATCAACATTAAAGGTCTACTACTACATAGGCATTCCCAATAAACTGCCTGGTAGGCCCTCTAGGACATCCCTTAGCTCCAGGAGCCACCTCCAAGAACAGGGACCTGGGTGCCTTGGGGCTGCAGAATCGTTGCACTCAATAACTCTTAAGTCCTCACGAGTATTTCGATGATTTTGTAAAGACCGCAGGGCCAATAGCATACACTTTTAGAAGAAAAAACGTATTTTTTATTATTTTGAGTAATTTTTTATTATATTTCATTTTCTTTCGCCTCGAATTCTTCTTTCACCTCCATGGGATGCTGGGGTAGTGGATTCTGTTACACTGCCAGTTATATGACAAAGAAGAAGCAGAAAATATATAAATTATGAAATTACCTGTCAAGGAGCATCATATGATAAACGACATTAATGATAAACATGACTAACGCCGTAGGTATAGCAAAACTGGAGTACTGCAAATAGTTAAAAATATCAGGGTACTCCATTCCTTTAGGCGGACTCCTGAAATGTTTATATTTAATAAAAATTAAAAACCTTTTAATTATTGATAGTAAATTAAATGTAACCGTCTAATTCCTTAAAAAGTTTCTGCGTTAGGCATAAAAAGAAAAAAAAACTGAAGTACTTACTGGCTCCATATAGCTCGGAAAAAAATTGTTGCAAACGACGCATGTATTATACCAATACTACCTAAAAATTGTCGTATCTATTGATTATTTTATAATATAGATGAAAAGATTCTTAAAAAATTAATGTATATTTTAATTTTAAGTTAAGTTCTGCTATCTGAAACTATTCGCATGCACTGCGTATATTTTAAAATATCAAAATAATAGGAGATTCGGAACTAAATAGTATTATATTCCACCGATGTAGATATGAAATTTAAAATAAAAAATAAAATTATATATTTATTTTATGGCTTGCGCATTGCCACTTCAGCTTCCTTATCCGTTTGGATATGTCGACTACTCTGACTGAAGAATACGTAGGCCGGCATTATAGCTTGAAGAACCAACAATCGATCTGAGGAATAATGCCTTTCGATTTCACTATTAGTAATAATAATGGCACTCTTGCACTAGTAAGCGAACTGTAGGGTGGCCTCTTACTAGATGTAGCAACAGGTCGTCTGGCTGGTATCAAAACCGAGGCCAAGCATACCCCCTTCCCTACTTTAACTTTTTAAGTAAAATAAATTCAAATTTTGAAAAACCTTTAACACTAGAGTTTAAACAGCACATAGCATAGATAAATCTGGCCAGCAGAATCCGACATTTTTTACATTATTTTATACAGTAATTCACATTGTCTACAATTCAAAATGATAACATAATAAACGGCCTAGTATAGAATTTAAGCTTTTCATTTAAGGGATAAAATATAGAGGCATATTATTTTACAATCTTAATAAATAAACATTAATGTTGTACAAAAATTTATTTGAGTAACCACTCCCTAATTTCATTTTTACTTGTTCAAAATACAAGATACTATGTTATTTTACTATTAAAATAATTGAAACTTTATTAAAATAAATTTATTGAACTTCGACATAAACGGAATAATAAATAAACTTGTAACAGTGCATTACTTACCAATTGAGGAAGCTGTTTGAATAGCATTGTTCACTATATAACGCATTTCGTCATAATCAGCCTCTGAACTTCTGGATCTAGAAGTTGCTGACTGAAAATGAAAAAAAAAATCAAATGTTATTTACTGCATCACTGTCAATGGTAACTATAATATCCTAAAGATCGAATTGTATCCACATAAGACAGAATTACAGTGTATGAGTGCATGTGCAAAATACAAGGAGGTAAGGGTCGACCCACATGTACCACAACCACACCACATTGCAGCGACAAAATGTGGTCACGTGTTGTATTGTAACCCTATTCGTGGCATCGACCCAATGTTGTGTTTGCGATGTGACCGGTCGCTAGTTCCATGTGATTCCGTAGTGGTTGCGTCGTGGTTGCGTTGTGGTACATGTAAATTGTACATTCATTTCTAATACAAAATGCGCCCACCCACGTGTTGCAGTTGTGGTTGTGGAACGTAGTAGTCGACCCTAAGTGTACCATTTTTTCCCTCACTCTGGAAGTTTAGTGAGACGGTAATCCTAAACAACCGGTGTAAGATAAGGAACAAGGCTTATTTATTTATGTATTTTTTTATTATATTTCTTTATTGTATCCTTAAACAAAACAATACAAAGGGCGGACTTAATCGCACTTTTTTTGTAGAAACATATATAGGTTATTATAATTAGGCTAAATTTTTCATGTTGAAATCTGTTTATTATTCTTTTATTTTATTTTTAGGTTTCCACATCAAAGTCAAAGTGGAATAAATTCGTCCATTTTTAACACTCGCGTGCCCAGCATTTACGAACCACTCTTATTTTACTTTAAATAAATATATTTGTAATTAAAATCTTATGTCAGTAAGTTATGTTAAACATATTTATTCTACTTTAAATAAATATATTTGTTTTTTGTAGTAAGTTTTGTTAAACATAAATTTAGTATGTTTTTATATTTGACATAGATAGCTTTTAAAATATTCATATAAAAATATCATTAAAATGTAATAGTGATATAATATTATGTAATAACAATAATAATAATAATAATAATATAGGCGCCAAGGTTACCACGGCTGGACGCGCTAATGGCCATAGTAGCGCTATCCCAGCATGGAGAAGAAGAATTGAGGAACGTATCGCAAAGGCTAGAGCTCTCATCGGCGGACTGATATGCTTCAGATCAGGCAACAACAGGCCAAGAATTGTGCGCACCGTCAGGATGGCGTTTGCTGGGACAAATGTCAGTTTGTCCCAGCCGGATATAACGCAAAAACTGACGGAGCGCATAGATGATCTGAAGCAGAGAATCGCTGCTTGGGGAAAGCGGATTCGGCGATATACCGAGAGGTCGATACGGTTCAACCAGAATCGTCTCTTCCAGAGTGATCAGAAGAGGCTCTATGAATCATTGGAGCGACCAATGGTAAGTGGAACGGGTCCAGCACCGAATCAGGCTGACACTGTAGCATTCTGGCGCGGCCTGTGGTCAGAGCCCGTAAACCACAGCGAGGGCCCTTGGACGGAAGTTGTGGCGAGTCAGTGTGCGGGTATTACGCCCATGAACCCCGTCATCATAACGCCGGATGACGTAGCTGAGGCGGTCCGTAGGGCCCCGAACTGGAAAAGTCCGGGGCTTGACGGGCTGCATCACTACTGGCTGAAGGGGTTCATGGTATGTCACTCTGTGCTCGCCCGACAGTTTCAAGAGGCTCTCAACCAGAAGTCACTCCCAAGCCTCTTCACTACTGGGATCACTCATTTGGTTCCTAAAGACCAGAGTACCACAGACCCGAGCAAATACCGCCCCATCACGTGTCTACCGACCATATACAAGACACTAACATCCATTTTGAGCGCGAGAATCACTTGTCACCTGACTACAGAACTACGACTACAGACTACAGAAAGGCATTCGACTTGGTGCCCCATACATGGCTAAAGAGAGTCCTCCAGCTGTACAAAATTGACTGTACAGTTGGAGACTTCCTCGAGCAGTGTATGGGGCAATGGAGTACGATTCTTTGCTATCTGGGCGAGCGGATGATGGCTGCGGAGAACCACATAAGGATAAGAAGGGGTATCTTCCAGGGCGATTGTCTGAGTCCAATCTGGTTTTTACTCCCCCCTGAACCTTCTCAGTACTTTACTGGAGGGCTCCGGGAGGGGATTTCAGCTTCGGAAAGGAGGTACAAAAGTGACCCACCTTTTCTATATGGATGACCTCAAGTTATTCGCCTCCAGTCGCTCCCATCTTATGGAATTGCTAAACATCACTTGTGAATTTAGCAATTCTATTGGAATGGGGCTGGGAACGGATAAGTGTGCGGTCCTCCATGTTGAAAGGGGGAGGGTTGCTAACTCTGAGGGCATAGACTTATCTATGCCCGTCAACTTAAGGACCCTTTCCGAGGCTGAAACACACCGATACCTGGGTATGTCACAGAACATCGGTATCGATGAGGCTGGTATGAAACAGTCAGTTTGCGACGTGTTTTATGCACGCTTGACCAAAGTGCTTAACAGCCTTTTGTCCGGTGTGAATAAGACACACGCATATAACGGCTGGGTCATGCCTGTCCTCATGTATACCTATGGCATACTCAGGTGGACTCAGACTGAACTTAACGCCCTGGATAGAAAAGTCCGCACTACCATGATGTCCCACAGGATGCATCATCCGAGATCGTCGGTAATGAGGCTGTACTTGCCGCGAAAGGATTGTGGGCGTGGCTTCTTGAGCGCGCTCACCATGCATAATTCGCGAAGTGTGCAGCCTCCGTAATTACTTCCTGGCGAGATCGGATGATCCATTCTATATGGACGTCATTTCTAGTGATAAAGGACTTACCCCTCTATCCTTAGCCAACGAGCAATGGCAAGACCCGGCAGTGCAGACAATTTCCGACCGGGAGAACGTATGGAAGGAGAAGGAGCTCCACGGGAGGTTCTACAAGGCTCTACATGAGCCTTTCGTAGACACAGTAGCCTCCCTCCACTGGCTACGCTTTGGTGATCTCTTCGGGGAAACCGAGGGTTTTGTTTGTGCAATACAGGATCAGGTTATTAAGACCAACAACTATCGGAGATACATCCTAAAGGATGGCACCGTGGACATCTGTCGAGCTTGTTGCCATCCCGGTGAGTCACTTAGGCATGTCATCTCCGGTTGTTCGGCGCTTTCTAACTCTGAGTACTTGCACAGGCACAACCTAGTAGCCAGAATTCTTCACCAGGAGCTCGCTCTGAAATACGGTCTCGTGGATCGGAAATTGCCGTATTACAAGTACTTGCCGGAAGCCGTGCTCGAAAATGATCGCGCCAGGCTCTATTGGGACCGGGCCATCATCACAGACAGGACTATTCTTGCGAATAAGCCTGATATTGTGCTGATGGACCGGGCACAGTCAAGGATATTTTTGGTCGACATTACCATTCCGTATGACGAGAACCTCGTGAAAGCCGAAACAGACAAGCAAACAAAATATCTGGACCTGGCTCACGAGGTGACCGACATGTGGGGTGGTCTGCCGACCGAAATTATTCCTGTAGTCGTCTTTGCAAACGGGCTAATCCCAGTCAGCCTCTCGGGTCATCTGAGGCGACTGGGACTACGTGGCGGACCGCTCCGGGCTCAAATGCAGAAGGCGGTGCTGTGTATGTATGTATTTTTATATTTATTTTATGTTATTAATATTTATGTATATTTATCTTTTCATTTTCATTTATAATTATATATTTATAGAACCCAACCAGATGAGAAAACTATATAGATACCCCACAATAATAATAAGCTTTATTGGTAATTATACAGTGAATATATGAAGTCTCTGATTGCTGAACTAGGAATTATACCTGTATCTCAGCAATCAGCTCCCTCTCTGAATTTTATGACCTAATAAATTAACAATAAAGGTTCAAAATAACAAGAATGTTTCAAAAGTTATAAAAATAATATACTACTTAATTTACGTACTAACTGTGTGTTGAGTGTGTTAGGGTTCAAGTGTGCGTGTGTGTTTATGTATGTGTGGGTGTGTGTATGTGCGTGTGCGTGTGCGTGTCAGCAAGCGTATTTTTGCGTTTGTGTATGTATGTGTTTTATATGTACTTATAAATAAATGAAAATAACAGGATTCATCAAGCGGATTACATTATAACATTAAAAAAAAGTCCTCCGTTTCTTCATAATTTAATGATAAAAGCCATTTTTCTACCTTCTTTTTAAATTTGTAAAGTGGATAAAAGTTAAGAATTTTGTTTATTTTGTTATACAAATGTACACTAAGATAATCATGTTGGCCCCTGGCAAAGGACGTGCGGAAAGCGGTTGGAGTCAAGACATTAACTACTCGTATTGTACGTTTTCTTTCTATTTTGTCTTTGTCGTTTGCAGTAGCAAGATGTTATCTGCTTATAAGTTGTAAAATGTATAACTGCCGAACAGTAAGAACCTGACAATCACTATAGAGTATTCTAGTTGGGAATCTAAACGTCTTAAAAGTCATCGTTTTAAGCAACGACCTTTGAGCTCTTTCAAGTCGCAAAATGTGGGTTTTGCATGCGCCACCCCAAACTCTAATACAATAGTTTATTATTGACTGAGCAAGCGCGTAATATACTACGCGAAGTGTATCAAAATCAGCCACATACCTTAGATGTTTAAACGCCCAAATTAGCTTCCTTACTCTAGAGGTTTGTAGATCTATATGACTAAGCCAGTTTATTTTACAATCTAAAATAACGCCTAGGTATTTGACAGTATCAGATTTATGGAGCATATGGCATGAACATTGTCGATTTTTCAGTAATTTAAAGCACTGTAGCTTGATAGATATATTTTCAGTGTGGTTTTCCTTGATATTAAACTGGATAAAAGTTGTTTTTGACAGGTTTAGAGTAAGTAAATTCAATCTTAGCCAGCAGTTTACCTTGTGTATTCCAACTTCAGCATTTTTACAAGCCTTATCCCAAGTCTCTTCATAAAATACCAGCGCCGTATCATCAGCGTACGTAAATATTTGTCCATTATATAGTGGCTGTGGGCAAAGGTCATTAATGTAAACCAAGAAGAGACTAGGGCCAAGTATACTTCCTTGTGGAACACCATATGTAACTGCGTCATAAAAACTTACTATTCGATCGATCTTAACACACTGCATACGATCACAAAGAAAGTCCTTAAAGATGGAATGCACTACACCACGAATTCCTGCTCTCTAGCTGTCAAGGAGAGAGGGAATCGAAACAGTGTCAAATGCCTTGGCTAGATCTAGAAAAACACCAATACATTTTTGCTTATTATCAAGCTTAGTGGTAACGTAATCAACCAAGTCACTAACAGCATTTTCTGTACTTTTTCCCGACCTGAAACCATATTGATGTCGTGACAGAATATTATTCTTTTCTAAAAAATTCATCAACCGAGTATTTAAAACTTTTTCCAAATTTTTTGAGAGAGCAGGCTGTACAGATATAGGCCGGTAATTATTTATATTATCTTTTGAGCCACTCTTGTGTACTGAAGTTATAATGGATTTTTTAAAAACTTTTGTAAATCTCAATCAATGATCTAGACAGATATTAAATAATTTAGTTAAAGGCGGAACAAGAATATTTCTAGCAAGCTTTAAAAGTTTGCTAGAGATAGAGTCCCAGCCTACAGCGCAGTCATTTTTAAGGTTGATAATAATAGACTCTATTTCCGCTTCGTCAGGTAGAATGAGAACGCAAGAATTGACAACACAAGGTAAATTGATGTTGTACCGATAGTTTTCGGTTTTGTCTTGACTTATTTTTTTGCCAAATTTTTACCAACCTTTGAGAAAAATTATTTATACTCTCAATTGTACAAGACTTATTATCTATATTATTCAGCAAAACTTTTGCTGGTGCATTAATAGTATTTTGATTTGTAATAATTTTAATAGCTTTCCATTTTTGTTTATTATCTTTTGCCTTTTTAAGAAGAGATCTCTCATATTTAAATTTAAGCCTTCTTAGGAGAGAATTACAAAAACTTCTATATCGCTTATACGAAACTACCAAAATGTTATTATCGGGGTCCTTTTTTAGGTTTTTATGCAATTTATCTCTATGGCGAATGCACCGTAGAACTCCGGGCGTAACCCATGGCTTAAGAATTATTTGCCGCTATTTGCCGCCTAGTAATCACTTTTTCAACAAGTTAGAGTACAAAATTTTATTATCGAAGATATTTTTTCTACTAATTGTGAGGCAGCGTTATCTGCATTGCAGTTGGTGTTTATAAAAGAAAAGTCAATTGTAGACAGATTTTTAATAACTTCATTGTAATCAATTTTTGTATTATAGCTTACTTTATGAGTATAGTCGTTATTAAAAGAAAGGTTTAGAAGCACAGAACTATGGTCAGTAACAGTTGAATTCAGAACAACTACTGTGGCAGGCAAATAGGTTTTAATCATGACATGGTCCAAACAATTATTGACTCTCGTTGGATAAGTATGTCCTGGTAGAAGACCTAGTTCTGCCATAAGATTTAAATAAGATGAGCTATTTTTATCGGCATTGTTAGGTTTAATGTCAATGTTGACATCACCTAAAAGATATATATTTTTTGCCTTAATGGGTTGAAGAACATGTTCAACTCTGTTTAGAAAGCTGTCAATACTATAAAAAGATGGCGATCTGTATGTGGCTAATATTGCAATATTTTGTTCCGTCTTTAGCAAAAGGAAGTTACCACCAATCGAATCTGGCTCCTCCACAATACAATCTATTCCAGATTTTACATAAATAATTATACCGTCATTTTGGTTTAAGGTTTTTTTAGAAAAATAACACGTGTAGTTATCAATAAGTGGAGGAGGTTTGTGACTACTTAACCAGCATTCCGTTAGAATTAGAATATCACATTCAAAAGTAAATCTTTCCAATTGTGCCATTAACCCATCTATGTTTTTATAAACGCTTCGTATATTCTGAGTTAAAACATTTATAGATTTAGAAAAACTGACAATCTGAATAATATTATTACAGTGTTCTGTGCTACAGTCGTACGATTTTGCCACAGAGATATTATCAATATCGATTGTTAAATTTTCTACGTTGATAGCCGTCTTTTTATATAAGTTATTTGGTTTTGCTTAATAAAAAATATTTCTGCAACAGTTGTTGCATCCTAATCTGGCTCTGAACAAAGAGAATAATGTAATTAATATGGACTCCGATAAGTTCTGTTACTTTTTTATAATTCAGAAGGCATAGAAGGTATGATAAATTGTACCTATTATATAAATTAAAATTATTAACAAAATATATGTTTAGAGGTTAGAGTGAGGATTTTTTGTTAAAAAAATAATTTTTGTAGTGTAAAAATATGTATGAAGTGTTATAGTGTATTTGTGTAATGTAAACCGCTAGTACTATGATAAAGTAACATAAAGGAAATATTAAATACCAGTAAAATTTTAAATAAATAATAAAAATAAATGATAATTCTAGTCATTGGGTCTTCCTTAAATTTTCGAGATCGGCTTCACTGTTAATTCGTATCTGGCTGGATTTTTCATCTTTGCGTAGGTAAACAGTTCCGTTCAGAGTCCAGCAGTACATAAAACTGTGTGCCTTTTTGAATGCTCTTGCGAGTTGAAATAATTTTTGAGTCTTTTGAGTTAAAGTTTCTGATATAAACACTGGTTTCTTTGGTTGTTGCAGTTGTAGGTGAGAAGTATTTAATTTCCCGTCTCTCGGTTTGTTTTTATTAAAACTTTTTACCGCTCTAAGTATTTTTTCCTTGCTGATAACAGAGTTTAGTTCCACTATAATCGGACCAGAACTGTCCTTGGAGTTCAATCTATATATATCTTTCAATTCGGAGTCTTCTATACTAATATTAACGGCCTTTCCGGTCTTTTTAATAATGTTAAACAAAAAATCTTTTGTTTCACCCGTTGATTTAGGAATATTTCGTACTTCAATCCCCGATGCACGCATTTTACGCTCCATAGTTTCCAATCTATCCTCCATTAAAGCCATGTTAGCCATATTTCAGAGCGATATTTCCGAGGCGCTGGGATAAAACATCAATACCTTCCTGACTCCGATTCTACAAAGTATTTCTTGACAGAAAAACCCAATACCGTATTCACTTATGACCAGCAGTCGCGCTTATAAAATCTAAATCAACGAGATATTCACCGTTGTTACTACAAAATGAACCTTCTTCAAGGATTTCCTTCTAATTTTTTTTATGATTCTGTAGACGTTGTATTCACCACGCTTGCCAGGCGGATTGCCAATTATCATATCAAAACACAAGTCTATCAATTATAACATAAGTTGATGTTGTTGCCCGGTATCGGTATAGACGTGGTAGAGCCATGCTGCAGCTATATTTATTGTATGGCTGTAGCACGAATGGTTTGGCTCGACCGAAGAAGGACCACGCTCTCAAAGAGTACTTCAATGCTGCTGTGTTTCGTATGGTGAGTGTAGAGAACCGGAGACCCTTTTTACTGGAAACGAGGCATTCCAGTTTAGTCCTCAGGGGTGACAACGTATCTGCATTTCGATTCGTAATCGAGGATAGATGTAGATGCCTATTGCCTATGGGACACAGCAGCCACTTACCATCAGGTGGACTGTGTGCCCGATTGTTGCCCTATACTATAAAAAAGATGTATTTTTATATGTCTCTATTATTTGTAGAATAAAGGTGACAAACGAGCGCGCAGATCAATTAGCGGTTAGCGGATGCTATGGCCCATAAATATCTACATTTGCCATCGAAATATATATATATATATATATATATATATATATATATATATTTCCGGTGGTAGAGGGAATTCGTCCTTAGAGAGGAGGTTGCGAGTGGGGTATATAAGCGTAAAAAATATATATATATATATAATACACATAAAACATATAAATCAAAATTCAAATGCGTTGTCACCCCTAGAGGGTAAGATGGAATTGCTCATTATGAATAAAAAGTATTTTCAGTTCTCTATACTCATCATACGATGGTCCTACTCCAATCACTTGTCCTAGCACATTGATGCTGCAGCCAAATTTAACTCCAGCGTGGCTCTGTCACTAGAAATTACGTAAAATTTGTAGTCACGATTCAGTAAAAATCTTACTGTTGACTAGCGGTTTTAAAAAAAAATTATATAAAGTTAAAAAAAATTTTTTACTACTAATGTACCTACTACGTACTAAGTATATTAGGAATAGACTAGTTAGAATAAAAAGACAACAAATGAAATGTAAGCAAATACAAACCTGTAGGTTAGTCAGTACAGGTGATAGAAACTGTATGAGATTCGAAGTTACTATCAGCTTATTACAACACATTGAAAGTAGGAACGCCGCTGTACTGGCTTTAAAAACGAGTCTAAAATAAAAATAAAATAAAGTTAAAATATATAACATTTCCTTTATTAAAATTTCTTGTTAATATGGCACAGGACAATGAGGATAATATGATCAAATACGACCACTGCGATAACGTTTCAATATGATTTTTTTCGATCATAGGGCTCCTTTTTCTTATAGGAGTCTGTGAAGATTGCTATCGTCCTCTGAACTCCTATTTATTACTAGTACCAACTAGTACCCACTGCTTTATCCCATGAGGGGGCACATATAATAATAGACAGACATTTTATCTTAATATTCAATGGTAACAACATATTGCTGGCTTTATTTGCAAGTTTTATGTACAGGGCTAGTACACAAATTCTCTTTGAATGATCTCGTCCATAGAATACTATAATACATATATACGGGGGAGTGGGCGGAGCCCGTGTAGCCACTAAAATGCCATAAATGTATAAATGTCAACACGAGATGTGTTTTGAGGTTGCAGTCGTTTCCAAATTTCGCATGCAAATTATTTACAAAATGTCAAATTTTACGCTATTTACAAATAAATATGTATTAAAATCCGTCTGTCAACTCGGGATCGGGTCGGAATCGGGTTTGTTTGTAGTAGTGATTAACTGATAATACGACGTAATTGCTTATATATGTACTCCCGGCGACGCCTATCCTCGTACAAAATAAGGTTGACAGCCATTCTATTGTGTATTATAGTATTCTATGGTCACGTTGGAACTTATAACTCTATGAATTAAAAAATTCGGGGGACATTGACTTCTCAGGACGAATTAATGGTGCCATAAGCGTATGTAATAACTTAGTTATTCACTGGACTCACACTCGTATATACCATGGATCAAATATAGGCTTCGAAGCAGTTTCAGATATTACGGGTAAATCACATACAGGAAAGAAATATAACAATATGTTTATTATATGGTCAAGCAATGGATTGCATTCTGGCAGAAAAATTATAAAAATTATAAAAAGTACCTTTTTCCTGAGAACTGACTCGCGTCGCCAGAACATAAAAACCATAGTGCTATACGACGATCCACCCCGGCATTGTTCATTAGTAAATGAATCATGCTTCCTAAAATAAATAATGATGTGTCTTCCTGAAAATTATGAGACGAATATTTAGATATAAACTTATTTGTATTATAATTATTGTTCTAGTGACGAAAACGTGTACAAATACAGACTTACAGTAAAATAACATTTACAGGTGTCTGCTGTCGCCATTACGCCGCACATTGGTAAAATAAAAAGAGGTATCAGTCCTGTGGTCGGAATAGATACTGGTTGCCAGAAATATGACCATAACATACCTATCCATAAAAGAGTTACAGTTATATCGTGCTGAAATGTTAAAATCAGTTAAGATACAAAAACAATCCTTTGAAATTTAAAACTATTGATGTTACTATTATACGCAATTTTAACAAAATCATTGCATCATCAATCGCCTGATCTCTCGTCAGTCGTATCGTTTTATTGTCCCATCGATTTAGCTAGGAGGGGGTAATTGGGGTTGTTTATAGTGGTTGGGAATGACCCGGTAAAATAATAAAATAATATGGATGTAGGTGGCTCAGGACCATGTTTTGTGGCATTCTTTGTTCAGCTGTGTATTGAGCTGAGATTAAGATGAGCTGTAATTATGATTACGCCAGAAAAACGAATTAACATAGGTTTGATATCGTTTTCAAATTTAGTACTATTAATTCACTGGTTAAGAGTTCACAAATATGTCAAATAGCTATAATCTTGTATATAACAAAACTTACCTTCCCCTTTTCTCCTTGCCAAGACAAAAGAAATAGAGGTACAAAAAATCCAATAATACCTCTAAAATTGTAAGTAAAAATGTTTTTTAGTCGTTCGCCGAGACCTTTGACTGGGGTTTGTGGATCTTTTTTCCCGCTAAAATTTTGATATAAATTAGAATAGATTCAGTATTTCGTAGGAAAATACCAGATATGTTTATAGTACTTACAACCAGGACACAAGCCTGAAACAATATTAGTCTTAAATTAACAATAATCTTTTAAGTAACATAGCTATAAATTAATTTTAGAAAGTATTTAATTCAACTTACCCCCCCATATTGTAGAAATATATTTATAAGATATCTTAAATCTTTAAAATTAGTTTTTCCATGACATTTAATGTCACGTTGAAAGTCCTATCTTCATAAAAAAAAGATTAAACGATTGTATTTGTTTTTGAATTTGGAATTACTTAACTTTTTAAATATATCCAAAAGCTATAATATATACCTTTTTAGTATTTTCTGGTATTTTCTGTATTACACTGACCTCCATTTACAAAAGTACACTGGACTGGCTCTACATCATAAAACGTTTGTTGAGTGTATCAGGAATTAAATTTGATATAATTTGCAAAAGGCCGTTTTTTTTTTCTCCCAAATCTGAATTCTTTGCTACGCATATTGATGTGTGTGTGTGTGTGTGCACATATGTGGTGTATGTGGCAGTAGTTAGCAGATATGATGTATTTATTTGCCAGCACGAATGGGTCGAGTGACTGGAGAAGAGAGACCACCACTTTCACAGAGTATCAGCGTGAAGTAATTTTAAAAATATAGTATAAAGCAAATTTTAGTGTTGCAAATTTTTTTATAGAATAAGGTTCACATAAGAACATACAGTCCACCATCAGGAATCAAAAGTTGATGTGTTGTCAGTGAATGCACTACACAATACATGAAGTGTAACGAGACCAGTGAAAACAGTCTTCGGTGTTTTACACTCACCTCAATCAATTTGTGCGGCAACCAGAATATAGCTGCAGTGTGGCTCTAACACTAAAAGAAATAAGTTCTATCAAAATTTTTAAAGTAAATTCTTGAAATTATGACATTCATTGTTAGATTGTAGCATCAAAAATATATTTACGAATACCATACAGAGGAAGTCGCGGCAAAAATCTTAAAGATGAACATTGGCTCTTGTTTTTAAAAAATATGTTATTTTCTGACCTTCACGCGGGCGAAGAAGCGAGTAAAAGCTAGTAATATACGATTCGTATTATGAGTGTATAAAACGGAGATTTTTTTACTAGTAACCTTCTATGCTTTATTTATTATTATTATTACTTACAATTTTACTTGCATACTATATACAGTAGTAGTTTTATGTTACTATGCTAAAAGTTAAACTTCATAGATAATAATAATACGGCTTATAATTTAAACAACATTTACACAAATGGCAGTGTTTATTAAAGGAATTATAACAATCAAAAACTTTATAACGTTACACATGTGTTCATAAATTCGGAAATCACTTTTCATGATTGTTCTCCATACCTATCTATACATAATATTAATTAACTAGAATATAGACAATTGTACGAGTTAGAATAGTCACTGTATCACTTAACGATATGCTTAAAATGGTGGAACACCGATTCTCTAAAATCAAACGGGCGTTGTTCTTCGGTACTGATCAGTACCAACAGCGCGATCGTGACGCGAAGGCTTGTCACCGGCAGTGTTCGCAGCACGAGCACCAGTACCAAATGTTACCAGTTCTTCCTCTCTTGAAGGAGGTGGTTCCACTGCTGAAGTATCAAGAAACCTACCACTAGCTATTGATGCTTGTGATTGGAATATTGATGCACTTCTTAAGCCACTCAGTGTATTTGCACTCTGAGGAATCTCCTTTAATTCTTCAAAATAATTATCACAAGCTGTCGGTCGTGGAGCGGCAGGAAATCCGTATAACGTAGATGATGATAAGTCTTTTAATGATGCGGAGCTCAAGTTGATTTTTCTGTTTTTGTGTATCGAGCAGTGCGGTAGTTCATCACCATCATATATAAATCGGCGTCGTTCATGCGGAGTGGCAGCAGAAGAGCCTGTCGGTGGATAGGTATCCCTTTTCATTATACGCCTCTCCAGTAACGATGAGTCCCTTTCTCTAAATTCTGTAAAAGCGTATTCACGATCCCATGCACGGCAGTCTGCCTTTGCTTTCTCACATAACTCCGTTATCCAATCTTTTTGATACCATTGTAAAAAGAGAAATATAGCTGATGTGCCCGCTAATTCGGCTGCCACAAATCCACTTATGTATAATCCAAAAGAGTAACCATAACTATAGGACATTCTCGGAGTATCAAAGACGGTCATGTAGCGTAGCTTGTGACCAACTTGTGACTTGAACACCGATATGTACATAACAATCCCGGTCAGCATTATTAATCCTGAAAAATGAAAGGGCATAGGTTTATATATGAATATTATATTTTTTTCAAATAATTTTGCTTTTTTAAAACGTCATTTAATTAATATCACTGGGCAGTTCTATACTGTACAGAAAACTTTATGTTGTCAAAAGTGTAAGTGCAAGTACCGAGTAACTCACTCGTCCTAACTATGTATATTAATCCAATGTGTTTATAATAATGCGATAGGATCTGTTTTATCTCCATACGGGCTTGCATAGTGGGGAAACCAACTGATATTACGTATTGTATTTTTATTTAAGTTTATTCCTGTTAATAAAATATTTTTCATTTTTTATCGGAGGCATTATATACTACAGTGGCAGATATCAGAAGGTTAAACACTACATAAACAAACCTACAAACAAACACTGGTTGTAACACGAATGGGTCGGCTCAATCGGTGAAAGACCACAATATCATAGTATACCAGCGTAAAATTGAAGCTTAAAACTGCTATTTTTTACTACAAAAAGTATTCCATCTTAATCCTTAGGGTGACAACGTGACAAAGGATCAAAATGGAGATTTTGATCCTTTACCGAGGATACTTGTAGATATCCATATATCATCAGGTGCACTGTGTGCTCGTTGGTCACCTATATTCTACATAAATGAAAACAAATCATTAACAATTATAATTTTTATACAAATTACCAACATCCTCACAAAAATTGGATGAAAGTAACAATAGTTAATTTGTGTTATTGGAAAAATGTTTTCTTAATTACGTATATATAACAAAAACTTATTTACTTTTTAGTATTTGCTTGGTAGAGGCGTTAGAAAATCCATTAGAAAAATAAAATTGATTTTATTATGTGGATATCGCAAGCGAACTAGCGACTACGAAAAAGGCCGGAAACACTTCATGTCATCCGATTAG